TGCTCTCTAGATGAGTTGTTGCTCAAGCTCAAGCATATACCTAACATTTATTTAACTGGAGACATTAATATTGATATTAGCAACTATAGTAATGACCCAAAGTCTGATGAGTACCTAGATCTTCTTGCAAACCACTGTCTTGTACCGAGTCATTTATTTCCGACTCGTCATGATAAATGTATTGATCACTGTTTTGTAAAGTCAAATTCAAAAATGTTAACCGTAATTTGTAAGTCGTCCGTAACTGATCATAGCAGCTTATATTTGAATTTATCATTAACGCAGCAACATTCTGTACATAAATATAAAAAATCATTTAAAAAACTTAATTATGATATGGCTTACAAACTATTGAATGAAATTGATTTTGCAAATATAACATCGTTAACAGACCCAAATACAGCAACTGAAGTATTTATTGAAACTCTATCAAGGATCATTAAAAAAAGCACACAAATCAAAACAATACCTAACCGAAAGCTAATTCGTCATAAATGGATAACTCCTGGACTACTACGCTGTATGAAATTCAGAGATACATTACATAAAAGACACCTAAAATCACCAAATGACAAAGATCTGGAAATTACTTATAAACGTTATCGTAACCATTGTAACAATCTTCTTCATAGTTTAAAAAATGAGCACGATAAACGAAATCTAAATCTAAACAAAAATGATATCAAAAAGACATGGGATGTTATAAAAGATGTATGTAATTTGAATACGTCAGATAAAGCAGATGTATGTAATTTGAATACGTCAGATAAAGCCAAAGCTCCAAATGAATTACTAAGCATCAAATCAACACCTCAGGAATCTATCGATTATGCTAATGGTTTTTTGTTAATATAGGCGCTAAACTATCGAATAACATTTTACAAAAATTAAAACTTACAGAAGAGGAATTAGTTAAAAACTTTAGGTGCAATAAAACTCCATTAAAGTCATTCATGATGTTGGAAACAGATGAACTGGAGGTACAAAATATCATTATGTCATTGAAGAATAACAACTCTACAGGTTGGGATGGTATATCATCCAAATTTATCAAAAATTTTGTTACAATTATTAAAGCACCTCTCACTCATATATTTAATTTATGTTTGTCTTGTGGAAGGTTTCCAAACGCGTTGAAGGACTCTATTGTAATACCTGTCTTTAAAGCAGGGGATAAGGATAGCATTACAAACTATCGTCCAATTTCTCTCCTGCCTATATTCTCTAAAATTTTAGAAAGAATCATGAACAAAAGACTTGTAAGTTACTTAGAAAATAATAAAATTCTATCAATAAATCAATATGGTTTCAGAAAAAATAAATCGACTTCAGATGCAGCAGAAGACTTGGTAACTAACATAGCAAGAAATCTTGACTGCAGAAAAAAGAGCATCGGTGCTTTTTTGGATTTAACTAAGGCCTTTGACACTATCTCAATTCCCCTACTTATTCGTAAGTTGGAGTCAATAGGCATTAGAGGTGTACCACTAGATCTTTTCAAAGATTTTCTTTCTAACAGGACACAGACTTTGAAAATTGGAGATCTTTATAGTTCTAAGCTAAAAATAAATTTCGGTGTTCCGCAAGGATCTGTGTTAGGGCCCACCTTATTTCTTATTTATATAAATGATCTATGCAATATTGAGATACCTCATTCAAAATTATTACATTCGCTGATGATACTGTAATTGTATTCCAACATTCATCATGGACACAAGTTAAAACAGCAGCTGAAACAGGGCTTCAAAGTATTATAAACTGGCTTGATTACAACTTACTTCCATTGAATTTAAATAAAACAAAGTACATAACATTTAGCATAAAAAATAATTTGCAACCTCCTACAGATTTCACACTGAAAGCACATGAAAGCGTATGTGATTTTAATTGTTCCGTTACTACTAGAGAATCCAATTGTTATACGTTATCTGCAACAAATAGCACAAAATACTTAGGTATTAAGGTAGATAAAAATTTGAATTGGAATCCACATATCAATAAGCTTAAGTCTAGAATACGTAAACTTATATCTATATTCAAAAAGATTAGAAACTTGAGGGACCAGAAGACAAACAAGACTGTTTACCTGACCTTGTGTCAATCTATAGTTACTTACGGCATCATCGCTTGGGGGGGTGTGCGGAAAAGTACTCTTATAAAAATAGAAAGAGCTCAGCGGTGTATCTTAAAGGTAATTAATTATAAGCAGTTCATGTACCCTACGTCAAAACTCTATAAAGAGTTTAAAGTTTTAACAATTCGCCAACATTACATTAAAAGCATTGTTCTAAAACAACACTCTTGCTCAAATCGTATTAATAAGTCCATTAGGAGATCACATGAGGTCTGTGAAGTGCCATCGTGTAATAGTACTTTTGCTCAATGTTTTTCTTACTTTTTGGCCCCATTACTTTATAATCGCCTAAGTAAAGTCAAGCCCTTGAAAAAACATGACGAGATTTGTTTGTAAAAGGACTCTGGAGGAATATCTGGGTGGTTTGGATTACGAAGGGACTGAAAACATTATGCAAATATGCAAGTAAATCTTCTCTACTGAATTTAGACATATATATATATATATTTTAAAGTACGTATATAATAATAAATATATAATCATATAATTACATTTCAAATATTACATAATATATAAGAAAACTATAATTTATTAAATATATATGTACTACTATGTTATACTGGTATATATCTATATAAGAATACTACAAAAAAGATTGCAAATAGATGTAACATTTATGTCAATATTATAAAATAATTCAATTAAGAATAAAAATAGTTTTATCTGCATTTTGTTAATATACTACTTGTTTACGCCAAACTCATTAGTAGATGTTTTGAAAATGTTTTGTTGGCTTCAATAATATTATCCAATTAAAAAACTGTCCTTATTTCAATTAGCGTAAAGTAAGTATTTCTGGAACGAGAATTCTTACCTTGCCGTAACACAGTCTTTTGACTAGCACAGAAGGTAAAGAATTTTTACCAGGATACCGCCAATTAGATATGTTTAAATTTAACAAACTACCCGGCTATTACTACTGATATACATTTTGTAAATAATAATTCATTTGTTTCTCCATAACAGTAACAGAGTAATTTGTTTTGTTTTTTTTTCTTTTCTTTTGTTCCATATAATGTAATAATTTCTATAGTGTTATTTTTCTGTTTGATTAAATTATAGTTTAACTGTATGTTATATAGATTGTTGTGTGGTGCAATGTAACTTACGATGAAATAAATAAAAAAATAAAAATAAAAATAAATATAACGTAAAATATGTATACTTTACTCTTCATATACTCTTTGTATTAGTTATTTATTTGAAACTCGATAATAACTGTTCTAGTAAGTTGTCCATTGTGGAAACGTAATTGGTTTCACATTTAAAAAAAAATGAACGCCAAAAATATTTTAGTGAATATAAAATAAATTATTACTTTCTCTGAAAAGGTTTCTTATGAAATAAGCAGGGCCTTTGTACAAATTCTTTCATGTATTTACGTTTCTATCATAATTTTCTGTGGACATAAATTATAAATAAATAAATAAGGTTTAATTATATATGAAATGTCTGTCTTGTACCTATACAAGTATTATCCGAATTTGAAATAAACCTTACATAAATTATTGCTTATTGGTTATCACACCTTCAAGCGATTAGTTTTCTCTTGAGCTAACTTGTTTGTTCTTACCATTAGGTGGGATGATAGTCAAACACTAGAAAATGATAAAAGTTAACTATATTTAATCTATGAAATAGTTACACAGCTTTTCGAATCCTGCAAATGCATCACTAATTACTGGTGTAATATCCTGAGCGGGTTTGTCATCGCTAGATAACCATATGGAACCGTTTGAACCTTCCTTGAATATCTTAAGTACAGCTGCAGCAGCACTTTCAGCCCTGGTAAACGAATAAATTAGTTTTGTGGATGGAATTGGATAAAAACTTGCAAAAGTTCGCTTTTTATGAATCTCCAATTTGCAAAAATCGTTTGTCTTCTACGTCTGGTGTGGGGTAAAAAACTTCTGTACTAGCCTTCCAAGGCGTTCGGAACCATGTTGGACATTTCTACACAGCCTTTTAGCCAGTACGAAGCCGTGATAGCTCATTGGCCGGGCGCTCGCTTTTGATTCAATTTACTCGAGTTCGATCCCCGCTGATAGCACCAATGAAATTTTTAATTTTAAGTGCTGACTTATGACGTGCTCAGTGGTGCATATATTTGAAAAAATAACAAAAAAATTCGAAGATATGTGAATTCCGCCAATCTGCAGTGGGCTCGTGTTTTGGACTATGCCCTAATACCCCTGAACTATTCCGTACAGAGGAGGACTTTGCCCAGCCGTGGGATATTTAGGCTGTTACTTTTTTATATTGCCTGCGGAATGTCCTAAAACAATACGTAGGTTGTTTTTTTTATTTACGATGATGAGCCTATGATAAACGTTTTTTGATTCTATGAATTACAATAAATTTTTTTTTTTAATCTTGCACAATGTCCAAGGTTTATTTGGGTGATGTATTGCGGTATTATTGAACTATACAGGGAGGCTTTTCTAAGTTTATCCATTTTTTAAAATTAAATTCTAGACATAAATAATGTTATATAAAAATGATAAATGTTTTAAATCACTCTTTTAGTAATTAATTACATTCATTTGAACTTATCTGAAAAAGTGCGTGATTTATAAGCAACTCATTTATTTTACGCGCGATCATTCATAACTAACACGCACAAAACACTTCGTTTGTGTGCGTGAACGGTAAAATTTAGGTATTTATGAATGACTACTGCGTTTTCAACAAGTTCTGTGTTTTAGGGAATAGAAAGGTAATTTTTTTGAAAAAAAATTTGGTTTTTATTTCAATAAACGATTATACTACCGAGTCTGAACTTCCTGTGTAAATTTGGGACCCCGTTAAAAAAGTCTCCCTGTATGATCAAATAAACAATATTAAGGAGATAAAGAAAATAATATTACTTCTGGTGATAACGGGCAACTGTTTCCAAGTCATTTGCCATGGTTTCGTCCCAAACTCTTTTTTCCAGTCCATCGAGCAGCGGAGTCAAGGTTGGTCCAAAACAGACTGTCAATACTCTCACGCCGGTTTTCGCGTAGAACGAACCGCCCTGAAAATTATCGCCTGTTTACCAACACAATTTGTAGTTATAGTAATATAGTTATTGGATTTTATACAATGTTAGTTGATTATAATTATGTACTTGTATTGGATGTACCACTAAAACGATTCTTCTTAATGTTCATAGTAACAGCCAGCATAAGATATATCTTCTCTCTCTTTTGTGTTCCTGCTCAGTCCAACCGTGTGACAAATCAGGGATTTAAATTGCTTTTAATAATTTCGACACTAGGATTTGAACAAAGAAAACCCAAGGAACTCCTTATATTCACTATGTGATGATAATTTTAGTATAGTCAAATAATTTAAGTTTTTTTTAAAACTCACCGAAATACTCTGGCTAAAGTGAATCACTGCAGCTTTTGTGGCACAATAAATAGGCATGAAGGGGAATCTGCAAATTCCCGCGATTGAGGATACATTTATGATCGTGCCTCCAGCTCCTCCCTCGTCCTTCCTCATATGCTTGACACCCTTCATCGTGAAGTCGACCAGTCCTTGCTGAAATGGAATAAAACTGCCATGTTAATGGTTTCTTCTATTATGATATTACATATTTAATTAATGTCAATGGTTTTTATTCTTGCTTGCCAAAAGCAAGCAAGAGTAAAAACCAATATAATGGCTATGACACTGACCTTTTTAGTCCCCAGTACAACTAAAATAATAGGAATTCGTAATCCCACTTACATCGAATAATTTACCTTACACCAAAAAGTTATTGCAGTACTAATTATTATTAATACGATAGGACCTGATGGATCGAGCTTTGCTTGTTTTGTTTTGGTAAATCGTTTATAGAAAAAAAAGTAAAAAAATAAGTGTGTAAATGATCGTGACACGAACCGCAGCCTTCTGTTTCGGGGCCGTCCGATTACCGACCGAACTATATAACATTTTTCTTCGCAAAATTTACCGTCATATTCGAATGATATTTTTCATTCCTTGAAAACAGGGATAAAAGGACATTTTTTTATAAATGAAAACTAAGTAGATCGATTTTTCGTCCCCGAATCTATAACTTTTCCCCACAAGACACTGACAATTTTGGATGTGTGTTTTACTACTCCTAAAACAGGTAAAAGTACGATCCATACTTTGTTAAAAATTAGGAAATTTATTACTCATACCCAATTAACGTTGCTTGCTTTTCTCCAGGTAGCTGCATTATCCATCATTATTCCGGCATTATTAATAACCACATCTAGCTGTTTGAATTCTTTCAATACTATTTTAAACGCTTCACCTGCCTCCTTCTCGTTGGCAACGTCGCATTTCACAAATATTACTTTACTGGTGTAACTTTTGCTTAAACGTTCTGCTAGCTTTTTGCCATTATCAACTTGAACGTCCAAAATCGCAACGCCCTGTTGAAAGATGTAGATTATTTTTAATGAGTTTATTTACATCAAGCGAAATATGTTACCTCCGTATGATGACATATTTATTTAGACTAACAGAGTCGTCTAAAAAAATTGTAAATACTGTCTTTAAGCAAAACAAAACATTAAGTACGATACTAGGTAACATTTATTAATAAGATTATGTTTTACAATCTCTTACCATGCCACACATAAAAGGATAATCATTGCAACATTTATACAATGTTGCGGTTTCATTGAAATTATTTGGTTAAAACTTTTTTTAAACCGTATTAACGTTATTTATATTCTGAAGATGTGAGTTTGATTTTCGAATAATTGGTTGAGCCCTATTTTTACCCAAATCTTGGGGAATCAAAAAAATTACAGAGTTCTCTCTCCCTAAAATGAATTTAAATGTTCAAAGTCGAATCAAATTCAAAACGATGATACAACAATGTGAGAGTGACCTTTAGAGAGACAAGTTCGTATGCCAGATTAAAAAAGAGGACTTGTAAATTATTTAATATAACGCAGACGGTAAAACTATCACATTAATATAATTTCGCACAGTAAAAATAAAAAAGTGAAGTAACAGCCTATATATGTCCCACTGCTGGGCAAAGGCCTCCTCTATACAGAGGGTATAGTTCACCACGCGGCCCCACTGCGGATTGGCGTACTTAAGTTAAAAACTTCACCGGGGATCGAACTCAGGTTGCTCGAGTATATTGTATTAAAGGCGAGTGCCCGGACACAGAGCTATCACGGCTCTTTCGCACAATATAAATAAAAAATAAAAAAGTACCTTTGCCCCTTGCTTGACAAAGGACTCAACATAGTGCGCCCCTAAACCTGACGCGCCGCCCGTCACCAAAAAAGTTTTTTCCTCTGACGCGTATTGATCTGTCATTTTATGTTGAGTACAAATTTTAGTGTCAGTGTCACGCTTTTATAGCGGACCCAGTTTTGCTAGTAACGGTGATAAGAGTCATTATGTAATTGCGTTTATCACGGAGTTTTATAAGATGGTACTATTCTGTTTATCACAGTTGCTTTATTCTGCACACGCTCAAAAACACTAGGATTGGGACAAATTAAAAATTCACGCCTGTATTCTATGAGGTCGTGGTACAACTCCGACCGGCCTGCCGGTGTAGCCGGGCTGTCGCTGGCGTATTTCACGGTTAATCGTTGTTCGGCCGCGAACGCGAGAAAGCTTTCCCATGTGTCGGGACAACGTTGGCGGACGAACTCCTTAAAGAGTTACTCCATCTCGTCGTTTGTGCCTTTGGGGTTTAAGCCTCGCCGGCGTGTGTAGGCTTAACTAAGCTTCCCCACCTTGCGGCAGGGAGGAGTGTGCCTCGCTGGAAAAGCGCCCAGCCTGGACGGAGCAGCGCTGAGAGCTGTTTGCTATCGTGGGACACTACCTCTCGCTGCCTGCCGTGATTCGTGCTATGGTGGACAGCGAGAGGGCGTCGGGTGCTGTCCTGTCTTTTTGTGAGGATATAATCGCCCGGAAGGAGGCCGCGGAGCGAGAAAGGGAGGCAGCCACCCTGGAAATTCGCCGCCGGATACAAGGGCGCAGGAGGATGGCCTACGTGCGCAACTTTTTGATTCGAGTAGCATGAGCCCTCCGTGTTAGAGGATGGATAATATTATATAGTGTTCGCTGTTCGAGTTACAAAAACCAACGTCTAATCTATAATACAATGAATACAAGCCTCTCGACTTCAATCCTTACACATTCTATATTGATATCTTTAATTATTTCATATTGATTACATTTAGGCGATATAAGTCTTCATAAGAATCCTGAAGTTATTCAATGGCATGTGTTCAGATCGAAGTCTTTTAGCTATTACGATTTCAAACCTGCTCATGTTGGAATCTGCAAACCGCGGGACACGGCAAATAACTGGTTGAATTATTTTGTATATTCCTTTCATAAGCGACCTCTCATCAAAACATTCACTCCAATTATTCATGATATCGTTACGAAAAGCACCTACTGACTGATACGATAATTTTGAAAAAAATCGAGCATCGCTCTGTGTATCAAATTTCTTTCAAAACAAGGAAAGACTCAAAAAAAAAAGATTCTGCTCGTTTGTTATATGCTATTCAGAAGTAGTCTTGTGAAATCAAACGAGATAAAGAGAGTAATGAAGACGACCTCTGTTTATTAGCGTTTCATGTAAAGTTTTTGATATTTTGAAGCATTTCATGTCTTATAGTTGATATGTTATTACATAACATAGGATACTTTTAATAATCGTATGATTTTCGCTGCTGAAGACATGTGGTATGCGTTAAATATACATGTGTTCGACGTGTTTTAAAATGTCTTAAATTGATACCTCCGAACGAAATGAAAAACAGCAGGTCCGATACAAAATTTTGTCATAAACAACTTGACTTTGAAAAGGTCCAAAATGTTCGCATATACCGCACACATTCATTATTTAATTACAACTTGACCTACATTCTTTCTGACGAACAAAAGTGACCGCTACTTGGTCAAATTCGCTTCAACGTTCGAGGTAATGCTTTGATACAGGTATAAAAATGGATATGGATTTCGCAGTTGAAGCCTTGCTTGTTTTGTTCAACTAGAATCTTACTTCCTCTGTAAGATTGTGTGATTGTAAAATTCAACGCTTACGTGTGGTAGAGCAACACAGTAGCTATTGGTGCTCAAGTATGGTTAGTGATGGCTTATTTCTTTGAGTTAGATAACGGAGGCCTACTCTTGGATAGATTGGCTACCCGTCTGCTACTCCAAACGTGTAGATATCCATGATTGCTGTAATCATTTCAGATTAGGTGAAGCGCCTGATCACGACCTCACCTAAATAAGTGATCACCGACTATATTTTCTTACTTTTCAGTTGTTTATACTTTATAATTCTTTTACAATATTTAAAAATACTTATTATTCATCCTATCTTTGTTTTCTCATTCGAATGAGTAAGATATGAAGTACATGTTGTGACCGCTTATGTTTTCTTCTGTCCAAAGCTTGTTTAGACTATTCTTGTTTTTATACCGATATCACTTTATGTCCTTAAAACGACAAAAGCACAACTAAAAAAGTAATTTTATTGTTTCAGATTCTCTTTTCGCATTATATCCAGGAATTTTAAAGTGAGGTAAGTGTAGTAACAGATATCCTTTTTTCGCTGCTCATCTTAACCCGGATCAAATTGAAGATATTAATTAAGCGTTCCGTGTCAAGGGACTGGGGTTACTTACTTACTTTCGTACTATGGTGTTCATTCGATTCTGTCAGGTAGCGAACAACATTTCTAAAAGCCAAGCCCAAGTTATAAAGACCAATTTACCTCGTGCCTCTCAAATATTTAACTCATGTTCTTGTTGAAAATTGAAAGATATTTTGATCCTTTCTATTAATCCTCTTCTCCAGTATCGCTGTCATGTAATTTGTATAGCATCACTCTATATTGGTTAACTTGAAAAGGGCACTGATGATAATACTTTTACAAGATCATTGTGCTAGTTTAGGCGTCGGAGAACCACTATATTTTGCTTTTTCTTCCTATTTGTAATATGCAACCAGAGGAAGATGACCTTTCTCCACTTCCGATTTCATACTTTGTGGTCACTGAAGAACACTGTATATGAATAAGTATCGATTTCGATCGCCAAAGTATTTTTTAATAAGCTGTCACTTCCTTAGATTTTTAAATAAAAATAATAATTAAAATTAAATTTCTTTTTCAAGGATTTCTTTCGTGGTTATTGCGATTGATTCGTCTGTCCCTATTCACACTTATCAGGGTTTCGCTGTAGGGTTTAGTTGAACCACTTGCAGCTTCTGATGGCGTAAGAATAGACCCGCTCATCCAGGGAACTACTCCGGCTTCACCGACGATCCGCGTAAAGCATGCGCATTTCTTCCGATGACCGGCGCCCGACCTCTATTACCAGACTGACAACAACTCCACATCCCACGAGTGTTTTAAATATCCCAGTTGAACCATCCGTACCTTTCTCAGGTTTTCTTACAGAAATGGAAGGTTAAGAAATATGTACGTTAATGCCAGTCATTATGACTAACGACTATAAAGTTGTCTAGTTGTAATGATTTTAACATTCATTTTAATGATGTAATCGGATAAAAAAATTTACTCTGTGAGCAACATGTTCTAGATAACCTTTATAACCAAGTGTCGATTCTTTCCTTATTTTTGAGAATAATTAATGATTATAATACATTATTGTATTCATTATCGAATCACTACAATCCAATTATCCCTACTAATATATACCTTTTTTTAGTATAAATGTGAAAGTATGTTTCTTTATCCTTTTTTCACATAAAAAAAGCAAGATTTTTTGAAGTTCTTAGTTTTACGTCAAAACTCAGATAGGCCACTGCATCCTGAAAAAAAAATCATACCGACGGAAAGCTGTGTTTTATCATTAGAAAAATTATATGATTTTGTACTTTTTTCCCATCGAAATTTATTTTGCTTATAGTTTTTTGTTATTTATTGACCAAAAGAAGCATAGGCTAATTTTTAACCTTTAAAATACCTTATACCTGAGGGGAAAAAATATTAAAAAAATACTTGATTTTGATCTTCTTCTTCTTCAATCATATATTATCGTCGCTATTCAACGACAATAAGTTAGTAGTAGTAGGGATAGTTGTTGGTCTAGAAAGAAACATAGGTTATATTAAGTCACGGAGAAAAATAGAAAAAAAATTAAAATACGTAATTACAAACACGCCATACCCACGTATCTCGTCGTCATTAGACACGGTCACGTTGTTGGGTCGTTGCTGAGTCTATGTGGTAACTTTTAGATAGATACAAGATGGCGCTTTATCATTTTTATAACTCGTTAGCGATGTGTTTTTCGTTTAACACACATGGGCCGTCATCGCATCGGGCTCCATTCTCTCCATACTCTTTTGATTTGATCATAATTCGTTGATCTTTGCTTTCAATGACGGTAACCAGGATGAAACGATGATCAGTTAGAAACATCCAACGAATACTTCTAGTAAATTTTGCATCAACAACTATTTGATAACCTAATGTGATATATTGCTTAATGCAATTAGTAAATTTTCAAAATTTGTCAATTTGTTTTGGTGAATTGGCGCAAATTCCAAAAGTCTTGCTACACCTCAAAATGGATTTAACTTGAGAAATTCTCAGATCACGATTAATAACGACTTTCGTTGTGGGCTTATTCAACAACAAAGTTATGATAGACTTCGATTGGTATTTAATAATGAAGCCACATCCCTTGCCTTGATTTACAATTTCTTTAATGAGTTTAAACGTGGGCGTAGCAATCTCAGTGATGATCTTCGTGAGGGATGTCATCCAACAGCGACGTCTGAAAATAACATGAGTTCTGTGCGACGCATAATAGAAAAAGATAAGAGAGGGACCTACCAACAGATTCGGGCAAGCTTAGGCATTGGTATGAGTCAAGAACAATGAATATTACACAAACATTTAGGAGTCAACAAGCTTTACACCAGATGGATTTCCCATACTTTTTCGGCGCCATCTATTGGATAATTACTCAATTCGGCCGATAAATTTCCTTTACTACGCCATCTATTAGAATATGATGGAACTCACAAATATTATGGTCAAGTAGTAGCAAATGATAAAAGTTACGTTTATTTCAAAAATATATTTTATTGTTTGTCAAAGAAATAGTTACATAGCTTTTCAAAACCTGCAAATGCTTCACTAACTACTGGTGTAATGTCCTGAGCGGGTTTGTCATCACTTGATAGCCATATGGAACCGCTTGGACCTTCCTTGAATATCTTGAGTACAGCTTCAGCAGCACTTTCAGCTCTGTAAAAAAATTATCGATTAATTGTAGTCAGATTAATAAAAGGCCCTAATACCCTCTGTATAGAGGAGGCCTTTGCCCAGCAGTGGGACATGTATAGGCTGTTACTTTACTTTAATAAAAGGAATTAAAACTTGAGAAGGTTGCATTTCTCCGAATAATAAAAGATTTCGGTACTAGCCTTTGGAATCGTTGGGATCCATTTGCACAACCATATATTGCCTAAGAAATGTCTTCAAAACATTGATTCTATTTTATGTACAATGAGCCTATTATTTATTGTGGATTAGTTAATCGATACTAATTATTAATACTTCATTACTAAATATTTAATACAATTTTGATATATATTTTTATGTATAATTGACAAAATTTAATTCAATACTAATGAATATTACCATTAATTACAATACTATTTGTCTAAATGATAAAGTCATATATGTCTGAGTACAGATAATGTTATAATATGGTAAATCTAAATAACTTTGCAGATTGTATAACCACAGTGTCAACATGACAGATCTTTGAAATGTCTACCATATCGTCTATGGATGATAGATTCTGCGACCGCGATTTTTAACGACGGATTAGGGTTCGATTTCGGAGAAGAAACCTGAGAAACGGATACCAAAGAAGGCAGCAGGCGCATTCACGCCTTTATACGTGGCACGAGACTATGTTTTTCGTTGTCATTATGGTCAATGTAAGTTAATACTGAGGATTTTGATCGGATTTTGAATAAATTTATTAAATTGTTGTATTGTCATCAGTCGTAGGACGTTCCTTTTAAAGAGGGTGAAAATGACGTTCAATGGTTCTGTTTCATAGATACATAACAAGCTAATTAAAACGCATTGACTTCTTGATTTTATGCGAATATTATACATATTGTTATGAACACACAAAGGAACGAACGCCATCTAGCGTCAATTATTAAAACCACTAAAGAACAAAGACGACATAAAACCCCCTATTCAACACTAGATGGCGTTAGAGGAACTGCTGTGGAACTATAGTCTCGAAAACCGGGTACATTCGCGAACTTTCCGGAATCACGAACATGTTCGTGCGTGTCGGGTACGTTCCAGGAATGATCTTTCTGGATTAGTCCGGAACCGGTCTCGGCCCATATAAAAAGCCGCAGGGAGGCGAGCGATGACAGTTCAGTTTGAGCTACCTTCGAGGCGACTTCGGAGTGAAAACTAGTGATCAAGAGCGATACCAGTGAAACCTACGACTTGACTACAAAATAGGACATTGTTAGTGCTTAGTGTTTGGACCTAGTGCTTTGTGTTGGACCTAGTTCTAGTGAATAAAGTCTTCAAAAGAGTCAGCAGGTCTTTCTCTCCAAATCCTTCGAACCCCTAACACGTAACAATATTAAATGAAACTAGATCACGGATGAAATAGTTTTGCAAATAGTTATGAAATAGTTTTGAGCATATATTAATAAGAGCAAATATTTTTTGCTTTTCGAGTTCCCATGAACGCTGGAAAGGTTTCGAAATGTTGAGAATTACAAAATCAAAATAAAAACGCAATAAATCCGTAAACTTGTTTAATTTAATTAGTTAAAACGTGTTAAAAAAAGCTAAAAATATTTGCTCTTATTAATATTTGCTCTAAACTGTTTCAAAGTATGTATATTTCATAGTATGTATATATTGGTCGTCACTTCACTCTAAAATGACTATTAAATAAATTAAATAAACTAATATGATTAAAAACTATTTTAAATAAATAAGGGTAAAAAGATTACTTTTGGTGATAACTGGCAACTGTTTTCAATTCATTTGCAGTGCTTTTGTCCCAAACTCTTTTTTCCAGTCCATCGAGCAGCGGAGTTAAAGTTGGTCCAAAACAGACCGTCAATACTCTCACGCCGGTGTTCGCGTAGAACGAACCGCCCTGAAACGTAAAAGAGTTTTGGTATTAACATGCAATAAATTTGTATTTTTATATAATATCTTGTATATTCTGGAGTTTATATGATGTGTAATGCATATATTATTCTTTAAGTCACATAAATTTATTCTGCAATTTTATTTATTGCACCTACCACGATTTCTCCTCACGCCCCGGGTTGACTGGTAGAAAATGCCAATAGGCATTAAAGTCCCGACTCACCGAAATGCTCTGACTAAAGTGAAGTACTGCAGCTTTTGAACCACAATAAATAGGCAAGAAGGGGAATCGGCAAATTCCAGCGATTGATGATACATTTATGATCGTGCCTCCAGCTCCTCCCTCGTCCTTCCTCATATGCTTGACACCTTTCATTGTGAAGTCGACCAACCCTTGCTGAAAAGGATTAAAATTGTAATGCTCGGTTTCTGAATTTTTCGGTTAAACTGAGATTAGCTATTAGTTCAATAAAGTTATGTATAATATAAACTTCGGTTAAGTATTCCATCTAAGAATATTTTTCTGGCGTTGAGTTTCTATTAGTTTCTTTTTGTATATCAATATATCAGACTGTCAAAAGTGTCTGTAATATCAGTTACAGTTTTTTTAATCCTTGCTTGTTTTTAGCAAGGGCTGCAAATTTTTCGTATAATACATTCTGTAGGGAACAAAAAATTGATACGCGTTTCATTAACACTCCTAAAATAAATTGTATAAGTACTATAGGTACATACATATTTTATAAAAAGTTACGAAATAAATGTCAGTCCTCATACCCAATTAACGTCGCTTGCTTTTCTCCAGCTGGCTGCATTATCAACCATTATTCCGGCATTGTTAATAATCACATCTAGCCGTTTGAATTGTTGTAATACTATTTTAAACGCTTCATCTGCTTCCTTCTCATTGGCAACGTCGCATTCCACAAATATTACATTACTGGTGTAAGTTTTACTTAAACGTTCTGCTAGCTTTTTGCCATTCTCAACTTGCACGTCCAAAATCGCAACGCCCTGTTAAATAATTTTATAAACAGTCTCAGTCTATTTACATCAATCAAAATTACAACTTTCGTGAGGTGACATTTTTATTTATACGAAGATATTAGTGTAAAAATTTCTATGCACTGCTTTTAAGCAAAACAAAACATTACACACGATACTCGGTAACAATTAGTAATAAAATTATGTTTTATTGATATCTTACCAGGATTTGCATAAAACTATTAGGGTTAAAATTCCAGCATTTTCTTTTATGCAGTGATGTGGTTGTAGTGTAGTGCAAATATTTGGTGGTTTCAGCTTTGGTGGTTTAATCATTTGCACTTGGGCAATTGGCACGCGAATTTTGTGATAGTAACATTATTTATATACGTTGAGATTTGTGTCTGAATTTCGACAAACTACTTGAACCATATTTCTTTGCCTAAAATTGAAAAAAAAAACGCTAGTGATCTAGCTTGGACAGCGCTACTTGCATTGTAGGTGACGAAGGATATATTGAACATCAAATCGCTGGAAACGAATCAGGAGAATAACTTCATGAGAGTTCTCTCCCTCTAAAAGGAATTTAAATGGTCAAACACGCATCAAAACTGGACGATAGATCATTGAGGTGTCTTTCCGATAGATGAATTAGAACGCCGGTATAAAAAAGAGGACTTTTAAAGCATAAATAGTGTGTACTTTGGAACATGGTATATAATGCAGTCGATGAAACAATCACCTCAACACTATTTATTAGAGCATAAATTAAATGTAAAAAGTACCTTTGCCCCTTGCTTGACAAAAGTCTCGACATAGCGTGCCCCTAAGCCTGAGGCGCCGCCCGTCACCAAGAAAGTTTTTCCTTCTGACACGAATTGATCTTTCATTTTCTGTTGAGTGCAATTTTAGTGTTAATGTTTTGCTTATATAGCAGACCAAGTTTTGCAAGTAATGGTGATAAGCGTTATTATTTAACTGCATTTATCACGTACACTTTTATATTCAACCGACTTCAAAAAAGGAGGAGGTTCTCAATTCGAGTGTATTTTTTTTAATGTTTGTTACCTCCGAACTTTCTACTGATTGAACCGATTTCGATGATTCTTTTTTTATTTGGAAACTCTTGAAAATCAATTTAAAAATGAATACAGAGCGAGATATTTGCAGTCGGTTTTTTAATTAATTAATTCGGTTGGTTTCGTTAATTAAAAATGGGCTTGTTTGGTACTATTCTCTTTTCCACATTTGTTTTATTAAAAACACTAGGGTTTTACCAAATTCAATATTATGTTTCTGCTTTGTAAGTGTTCTTCGTGTAAAAAATGTTTCAATGCATCTAAGTTTTCAACAGTAACAAAATGATTAACGTTAGTAATAAGTTTTGTGTAAAGAAAGGACTCATTTTGAAATTCGGTTTAAGCTCTTAATCGACTTTGAGTGTCCGGAATATGTGTCGCATAGTAATTTCTTATATTTTCATGAAAACTACACATTGTTCCTTGAAGTTATTTGTACTTACTTATCTTGTTCATTTTTAATTTTCGACGTTTGAATAATTCCCAGTATTTATGATTACGGGACAGTCTATGGAAGACTGCTCAGCCTGGACGAAGCAGCGCCGAGATTTGTGCCTTATCTTGGGGCGCGACCTCTCGCAATCTGCCGTGGTTCATGCTATGGTGGACAGAGAGAGGGCGTGGGGTTCCGCATGTTGTGAGGACATTATCTTCCAGAAGAAGCCCGCAAAGATACGAAAGGCCACTACTGCCACCCTGGATAAGGGTGAGGCTGGCCTACGCGCGCAACCTTTTTTCACTCATAATAACTCCCCAGGCGTAAGGCATGGGCTTGTCTGTCGCTCTGGGCTTGAGAGGAGTGCTGTGCTAATTTTACCGTCACATGACCATATAGCTGGACTGTGTCCTGATACCTTTGAAGAGTAGGCTTGAATAGGCATAGTCGGGTCGGGGATGCGGAAGAATGAGTCTTCATATATCTACGTACCCTGCCAATGAAGCAAGGTGCAACTTGGAATTTTTTGGGTGGCACCGTTCTCCGCGGTACTCCCACATACACCTGTTGCACGTCCTATCCGGAGGTCCAAGGGGATCAATAAAGGATTTTTACAAGTTAAAAAAGATTTCTTCACGCGAAGGCTTGGTACATAGCGGGTGATATAAAAACTGCGCTCGAACGATTTTAAAATCGTGTCATCAATCATTATACTACATTGTAATAACATTTATGTTTTAATTTTTATACTATTTAGTCTTCTCCATACGAAAATGAACTCAAGAACTTCGTTGTCAGAACTAAGGTTCGATCAATTCATCGGCTTGCAGAAAAGTAATTATAAGATAATTTTATATATGTCAGGTGTACAAAATTATATAGTTACGTAAAAAAAATTAGATTTTCAGACCAACTGTATTGCTCGGTGGTACATTTTTTAAATAAAGTAGTAAAGTAACAGTCTATACATGTCCCACTTTTGGGCAAAGGCCTCCTCTATACAGAGGGTATCAGGGCATAGACCCCAACGCGGCCCCACTGCGGATTGGCGGACTTCACATATCTTCGATTTTTTTTGTTATTATTTCGAAAATATGCAGGTTTCCTCACGATGTTTTCCTTCACCACGGAGCACATAATAAGTCAGCACTTAAAGTTAAAAACTTCATTGGTGCCGGCACCGGGGATCGAACTCAGGTTGCTCGAGTATATTGAATTAGTTGAATGAGCTATCACGGCTCTTGCTTGGTGGTACATGTTTTAAATATTTTCGATAAACTCGTTCAATCGTTGCTCAGTTCCAAATAATAATTTGTTCGCATTGAAACCAAAAATATACACAAACAATTCCATGTGCTATGTTTTAAATTGAAGAGCAAGGAAATTATAATAACATAAAATTTTGTGATTCGCATGTATATTCATCAATTAATAATTATTTTAAGAAAATTAATGTGTTTCTAAAGGCTCTGGTGGTCATTTAAGATGTACTTCAAGAATGTATTTCATTTGCGGCCCTGTTAATATTTCATTTTGTACATCCCATTTGGAATTCTTATGTTCTAAGAGCTCGCTACGTATTTGTTCTTTTATCTTATCTTCTCGTAGCTTAAATTTATCGCAGTTGTCATCCAATCGTTTTATTTACTCGTTTATAGAACTTCCCAGGGCCATACTAATCTTTAGGTAGTACCACCGGCTGAGTCGTGTCGATGCAATTGCAATTTTCATATAAAATACTACAAATTATTCACCAATAAAGCAAGAATTATAAATGAGACGAACGGCTAATTAAGAGACATACAAGGTTCATTTCGTAATTAAACTAAAGGTACGCCCTAGATCTTAGCTCTTTTTAGTCTGTGGCGGAGTCCACTACTAGCCAGAACAAGATAGTATTATATCCTATCTGCTACTAAGAGACGTAACGTACTAGCGACTTAACTTCTTCACATTGAAATTAATAAAGAAAGGCAAATTTGCTTTCTTTGGATTTACATATTTGAATTACAGCTATTGACAAACTGAAACTGAATTACGCTACCCATAATTTTAACCTAATCTGTTGTTATTATTTAACTCAACACTACTTTGACTGTTATCAATGGAGGTATTGGTATAACTTTCTTTGATCCTTAAACCAAAAGCTTCATCCAACTAAAGATTAACACAGAAACCAATTCACGATTTCGAAGTTTTATCAGATACGGGATCTACTTTATTTAAAATATACCCATGATCTGTAAGTTCTGTATGGCGCTATTAATAATTTAAAAACTGGCGATAAGCCGGATTAACAATGATATTCAGACATCAAACGCCTCAGTCAGGTGGCCATGAACGCTGTAAAGAAGTTCGAAAAGTCTGGAATTAAAATTAAAAAACAACCGCGATAAAGTGGTAACCTTAGTTTAATTTGGGATCGTACTTGTTTAAGAGAAAAATTGTAAGTTTATAAATGACTATTGGCAACTTATCTTACATATAAGTTGCCAGCGTTCCAATAACAAGGAGTAAAACCACTGTTGAACGAAAATCTAGATGGTGTTGTGATCGAGGGATGTATCATAAATTCTACATTTTTTAAATATCCCATAACTTATAATGTTGGCTTTGTTTACAATTTCGGTTTGTAGATTTGTTGTTTTTGACCGTGGATTGGAGTCGAGCGACTACGGTAATCTTGTTGGCATCGAGTGTTATTCCCCGATCGCAGCGCCGCTACCGCCTTGACGCGTGAAGATGCAGAAGACGTAGAAATCCAGAGTTGCTTGAGACTTGTATGTAAGGTTGTGTGAATATCATTTATTTTCGGTATAGCTATCAGTCGATTCACCTTATGATCGTGTTATCATTTGTGTGTTTTGAACTGACAACCCGGATTAAATTTTTATAGCCTCGTAATATTTAGATAAAACAAACTAAAATATTAAATTGATGATAATTAATGATGGATTTTAATTTATTAAACTTAAGTGAATAACGACAAAGTCTCGTTTATTGTGGCGTTGTTAGGGTGAGGATTTAAACAATGGACGTCTTTCAGCCGATCATGATGCTGATGATGATTAAGAAGTGATTAATTGAACAATTTGAAAGAAAAACACGAGAAAATGTTCTTTGTTTATGTGAAAAGGTAGCAATCAAGCTGGTGGTCCACCTGATGGTAAGTGATAACCTTCGCCCATGGACATCTGCAGCACCCGTAGGGTTGCAGATGCATTGCCACCTTTTAAAAAAGTGGACCCAGCTTCTTCACCGCTCTACAGAAGAAACGTAACAGTATAATACTTCTTTACGCCGGTCTTCTGTGAGGTCAGGGTACTTTTTTTTCCAAAAGAAGGAACCGCGTTAGAGGGCAAAAAGATATGGGAGGTCTATAGTCCCTATTAGGTGTATAAAAATAGTCCTGAGTCAACGCGATGAAAAGATATGGGTAAATTTAGATTTACCCGAAAACTTGTTTAATTACCAATTTACCTTAATTTTCTAACGTGCCTGAGAAAATCGGTAGTGATTATTTAACAATTTTATTATCGACTTGCACTTGACCGGTTCTTTTTCCTGAATCGCGTTTACTCTTTCTAGTAGGCTGTCGAGCTACTGCTTGTACTATCTTTCCATTTGGAAGTCAAACAGTAGCAAATGATAAAAGTTACGTATATTCAAAAATAATTTTATTGTTTAGATAAATACAAGTATTTACATAGTCTTTCGAATCCTGCAAATGCTCCACTTACTTCTGGTGTAATATCCTGAGCGGGTTTGTCATCGTTTGATAGCCATATGGAACCGTTTGGACCTTCCTTGAATATCTTAAGTACAGCTGCAGAAGCACTTTCAACCCTGGTGAAAGAATAACTAAGTTGTTTCCAATTTAATAAATGGATTAAAACTTTAAACGGTAACGAGCTAAAGAAAACCTAAGTAATTGATATTGTCCCACTGTGTTCGGAGAAAAATTGTTTTCTTTCTGTTAACGTTCGCCCGTATCCGTAAAAAAGGCTTCGGTGCCAGTCTTCGGAGTCGTTAGGAACCGTATGAACACATATTGTCTAAAACAATAATTTTATTTTAACTACGATGAGTCGTATTACTCATCGTGGATTAACTGGTTTTAATTCTTAACTACAATAGTATTTTTCTTGAATTTTTGCACAATGTGAATTTCTTATTTATTGGAGTCGTCACTTCACTCAAAAATCACCATTAAATAAACTGTTACAATGAAATAAACAACGTCAGAGAGATAAGGTCAAAAATATTACTTCTGGGGAATCCTTACAGCTGTTTGCAATTCATTTACTGTACTTTCGTCCCAAATTCGATTTTCCAGTCCATCGAGCAGTGGAGTCAAGGTTGATCCAAAACAGATCGTCAACACTCTTACTCCGGTTTTGGCGTAAAACGAACCGCTCTGGAAAAAAAAACGCTTTATCGTTTACCAACACAATTTGTGGTAACAGGAATAACAGGAACGGTTATTGGATTTTATACCATGGCAGTTTGTAGTTTTATTTATTTATTTGTTTAAATATGGTATAAAAGATGTTGACAATAATATTATATAGTTCCATCATATTCAACCATTTCTGGTATATAAATGCTTAGACATACAAACATTAAGTTTACATTCTAAAACTTATCTTTAGTATTATTTTTTAGTTAAGTTTGTTACAATTTACTTAATACATGATAATAAAAATATATTTATATAATGTCCTTCTCATTACTTCTTTAGAAACCATGTCAAAATTGAATTATTTCTGGCTACAAAATAAAAATTTACATAAAATTTGACACAATCAGATTAAATTTGTTATTTTTCTAGTCAAGAAGTTCTTGAATGTACTTCTATAACAATTATTCTTAATGTTCTTATTAAAATTTTTCGCTACTGCCCATACTCGAACCCCTTCCGGATGATGCGTTCAGACGTTCTAGCCACTAAGCTAAGCGTTCAACATCCTCACCGCGCAAAACTCGACGTTTTATCTTGCTTTTGTATTTGTAGCAATGAGATGCTATATCATTTTGTTTTAAAGATACTTTGTTGTGTTTGAACTCACCGAAATGCTCTGGCTAAAGTGAAGCACCGCAGCTTTTGAGCCACAATAAATAGGCATAAACGAGAATCTGCATAGCCCTGCGACTGAGGATACATTTATGATGGTTCCTCCGGCTCCTCCCTCGTCTTTCCTCATATGCTTGACGCCCTTCAACGTGAAATCGACCAGCGCTTGCTAAAGTGAATTAAAAACAAATACGAAAGATTAGAAAACTAGGATAGAGTTGTTATTTATTAACAAAGTTGTTAAAATAACAACTTTACCCAATTTACGTCGCTTGCTTTTCTCCAGGCGGCTGGATTATCAACCATTATTCCCGCATTGTTGATAATCACATCCAGCTGTTTGAATTGTTCTATTACTAGTTTAAATGCTTCATTCGCATCCTTCTCATTGGAAATGTCACATTCCAAAAATATTACTGTACAGGAGCTATTTTTATGTTCTGCCAGCTATGGCTCATGGACAAACGTCCATTATCAACTTGTACGTCCAAAATCGCAACGCCCTGTTAAATAATACAGATTTTAATTATGTACACAGATTAAGTGTATTTACCTTAACCAAAATATATTAATTTAGTAAGATGCTATATTTATTTATACGAACAAAGTCGTCTAAATTTTGAAAGCAGTTTCTTTAAGCAAAACAAAAATTTCCGGAAATACTCTGTAAACAATAATAATAAAATTATATATACTTGAATGACGCGGCTTTTGCATCTCGTGTTAACAATTTGTATGCGATTCGTGGCTGATTATGACTATTTTGTCTAAATTAACCTTGCATGGTTATATGTATGTACTCCACGTTTATACAAATAAAATTTATGTCACCTTTATGTTCAGTTGATATTAAATAGTTTTATTCGATTCAATGTAAGCCATTAGGCATAATCACGTTTAACCGTTAGACATAATATCTGAAAATATTTTAATTTTTGTCGTCCCAAATAGTATGTTTTTGATTGGGTATCGTTTATGATTATGTAATTAAAAATAATTTCGACACATTATTCATAACATTGCAGTAGATTAAATAATCACATTAACATTATTTCCCATAATATTTAAAATTAATATGTACCTTTGCCTTGGTTAACAAAGGTCTCGACATATTGTGCTCCTAATCATGACACGCCGCCCGTCACCAAAATAGTTTTTCCTTCTGACGAGAAGTGATTCGACATTTTCTGTTAAGTGCTAACACTGTTCGTTCGTTCTGTTAAAATTTTATTCTAAGTGTTACGCTTTTATAGTACACCCAGATTTTCTAGTCATTGCGATAAGCGCCATTGTATCTGTTATAGTGTTTATCAGCGTATATGTAGCCTTTATCATATAGAGTTTATATGATGGTATTATTCTGTTTTTTACGGTTACATTACGCAAGTTCGGAAACACAATGAGTATTGTAGGGTTTTAACAAATCTAATAATGAGTTTTTCTTCTGGTTTTTATTTATGTATTCCTGTAAGAGCTCTTATTGTAAAAACGTGTCTATACATCTAAGTTTTGCGGAGTAATAAAATAATTACCGTTGAAAATAACTTTTGTTAAAAAAGGAGGCATTTGGAAATTCGGTTATAGCTCCCATATCTCAATTTGAGGTCTACTCTAAATTTGTATTCAGATGTCCTTACTCAAGATCACTCAAGACACTGAACCTGTTTCGGTTTTTAACAAAGCTAACCATTTCGTTGGGAATACTTAGTCCGGAATTCTTAGGAGTAATGAAATATTTTTTTCACTACCGCCTTCAACACTAACGCCTGGTTTCTGAAACACTGATTGTCGTAGATGTGATTGATGAATGATTGATGATCATTCTCATAATTAAGATCATTTTGGTCAATTCACAGAGGTTCGTCGTTTTCGTCACCAATCGTTTTGGCAACTAAAATGAATTTGAAAAGCCATTTCACAGCTGCTTAGTTGACATATACGATGATGAGTGTTTCATAAACCGGGCGTAAATGTTGTATGGCTTCCGTATTTATTTATTACTAACTTTTCGCCCGCCGCTTCGCTCGTGCTGAAGCCCTTAAATAAATATATTTCAACCGTTCACAACACTTTTTTCCAATTAAAAAATAGCCTATGTCCTTTTTCAGGCTCTAGACTATCTGTGTACCAAATTTCATTTAAATAGGTTCAGTAGTTTTGGAGTGAAAGCGAGACACAGACAGAGTTACTTTCGCATTTATAATATTAGTATGAGTTTTGAGTTATAAATTTATTAGTTAATCTTTCGAAAACACGAAAATGAAAATTATATTCACATATTTCGTATTTATAAATTATTTATATGTATTATCAATTAACGCGTAATTTCAGGTTTAATTTACTAATTTATTTGACTTTAAAATGTATTTTAATTAATTCTAATCCTTTTCCTATTTATTAAAAAAAATGCTTGCTCATACTTTACATTTGTTTGTTTATTATTATTCTTTTAATAATATGAAAGTAAAATACAATCATCGTCTATGCTTACTAATATTATAAAGGCGAAAGTTTGTATGTATGGATGGATGTTTGTTACTCTTTCACGCAAATACTACTGAACGGATTTCAGGGCTATAATTTATATATATATTTTATGTATATTTCTCTTTCTACTTAATGTTACACCTTCAGCCTATTCTACGCAGACGTAGTCGCGGGCAGCAGCTAGTAAAAGATATAGGGATCATCTGTGTAAATTTTCGAAAGCCTCTTACGATACTATCGATAATTTCCTACGGCCCACCACTAGTAGGTAATGAATGAAGGTCACGCGGCGCGTCAACGAAACTCGCAGCAAGCGGGGCTACTCGTCCTCCACTTTCCCTGCTTCTCCACTCAAATAGTTAAGAATTCACTGCATACAGCGCTTTAAGACCTTACGCTCGTCTCCTTTAGAAAAAAAATATGAAGCCCGAAGATTTTTCTAAAGAAATCCCCGGGGAATTTAATTGAGTTTTTTAATTATTATTTTTTTAAACTTACGTTTGAGCTCTGGCTATTCCATTAGGTCTGTAATTTTCATTTTCCATTGTTCCGATCGTGAATAGATTACATAATATGACACAAGACATCTTTGGGAAATTTCAAGGAACATGACTTCTGTTTTAATGTTGAAAAAGTCTTAATATTAAGAGGATTATGCTTTATACGGAGCTTTTGAGACCATTTTTGATCTTGTTTCGTTACGGATCATAAATAAAGATATCTTAATAAGAATATAGTTACGCCAATCCTTTTTATAATATTCTACTATAATTTTTACCAACACTTAACACTTTGTATGGGGTGCTCAGATAAAAACGATAGAAAAAGATATTTAAGTACACCACCAACGGTGTGAAATATCAAATTGATTATGGTTTTATCTGTACATACCATTATGTATTGAATAGCACGTTATATGGCCACCTCGGTTTCGCTGGCATTGCTTTAAGCACTCGGTCGATCTTTTGATTAAATATAACGGCGTGATTCCGGCAATACCGTCTTGAATATTTGCCTCGAGCTCGTCCAAAATGGTGGGCTTGTTAGTATAGACTGGACTTGACGTAGCCTCAGTCAAGTCGCATGATCGCCGTGGGATGATGTAGTCGCCAAAATTATGCCCTCATGATGCGTTGCCCACTTTATTATATACACGCATCAGCAATCCTACAAATGTTGCAAATATCAACGAGCCGCGGTTATCTCTTAACATCAGGTGAACCGCCAGCTCGTTTGCCACCGTCTCACACATTTATGACTTCGAACATTGCGTAGCTTGTATAGCATGTGCCGCCATTTTGTTTAACCGCAGATTAGATGTTTCGAGCTATGGACACAGAAAGTTGGATAAAATCGTTCTCTACTGAGGACAATTGACGGACTCTTTCGTCATTTCGAAAAAAATAAGACCAATGATGCGCCATACAATACCATAAACCGCACTGAAAACTTGCGAATTGTGTTCGCTCCAATAACGAAAACTGGTTTTAAAATTTACGTTGCGTTTTTTCAGGAATAACTGCTCGGAAATTTGTTTCATATTTTTAATAACTTCCACACTTTCGCTAAGCGTGAAGCTATGCATAATAAAACGGCAAACCCAACAGAATATTTTGATAAACAGTCCTCCTACGTAATTTTAACGACTGTTGAATTGATAAAATTATGATTTCAAAAGTTATTATATCAAGAAAAAAGTGTAATAATTTTTGTTGCACTGAAAAGGTCTAAGGTTCAAATAAAATATCTGGCCAAATTAGATTTATAATCCGAATTTAAAAAAGAACTCACACAAAATGCTGCATATTGGTTATTAAAAGTCATAAAGGGAAGAGCGATTAGTTTTCTTCTGAACTAATGCCTTTCATTTTACCATTAGGCAGCGTGAAGGTTGAGTACTAGTAAATGATAAAAAGTTAAGTATATTTAAAACTTAATTTTATTTTATGTCGAGGACGATATTACATAGCTTTTCGAATCCTGCAAATGCTTCACTAACTACTGGTGTAATATCGTTAGCTGATTTGTCATCGCTAGATAGCCATATGGTACCATTTGACCCTTCCTTGAAAATCTTAAGTACGGCTTCAACAGCACTTTCAGGCCTGGCAAAAGAATTAATTAGTTGTAGTCAGATAGATAAAGTATATAAGAATTTGATACTGTTTCCTTTTTCCTAATCGTTACGTATGAGCCTATTATTTGTCTTGGATTAACTATTATTGATTCTAAATTAAAGTTATATTTTTCTTCTATTTTTGCATAATTTCCCGGGTTTTATTTGGATTTCTGATTTATTGACCTCATCACGCAAAAATTACTAAAAATATATAAAATTAAATATTATTATTTAAAAACTATTTTAAAAACAAGGACAAAAATATTACTTTTGGTGAAAACTGGCAGCTGTTTTCAATTCATTTGCAGTGCCCGCGTCCCAAACTCTTTTTTCCGGTTCATCGAGCAGCGGAGTTAAAGTTGGTCCAAAACAGACCGTCAATACTCTCACGCCGGTTTTCGCGTAGAACGAACCATGCTGAAAAATATCGTCAGGTTACGAACACAATTTGTGTTTGGGGTAATAAAGTGTTTGGATTAATTATTATCATATAAAACGTTATTCTTAATGTTCTCAGTAACAGTACAATATGTACCTTCTGTTCTCTTTCTTTCTCTCTCTCGCTCATTCACTGTCCACCCACATGTTGATCAGCACCCTTTTAAATTACTGTGTTATGATCTGTAAAAAACAATTTAAGTTCGAACTCACCGCAATACTCTGGCTAAAGTGAAGCACTGCAGCTTTTGAACCACAATAAATAGGTAAGAACGGCAATCTGCAAAGTCCAGCGACTGAGGATACATTTATGATGGTGCCTCCGGCTCCTCCCTCGTCTTTCCTCATATGCTTGATGCCTTTCATCGTGAAGTCGACCAGTCCTTGCTAAAAAAAAATTAAAACCTAAATGGTACAAACATGATAGATTGCAAAATAAAATTAATACTTTGTTCAAATAAGTGTCAACACATACCCAGTTTACGTCGCATGCTTTTCTCCAGGTAGCTGGATTATCAACCATTATTCCGGCGTTATTGATAACAACATCCAGCTGTTTGAATTGTTCTATTACAAGTTTAAATGCTTCATCTGCATCCTTCTCATTGGCAACGTCGCATTTTACGAATATTACTTTACAGGAGCTACTTTCGCTTAAACGTTCTGCTAGCTTTTGGCCATTATCTACTTGTACGTCCAAAATCGCCACGCCCTGTTTATTATGCATATATTATTATGTCTATTCATAAATTTATATCAGCCTAAGTATATTCTTTTCTTGTGAATTATTGTTGATTAGGTGTGACACGTAACATATTGCTTACTTAAAAACATTTTTTTTTAAATATTTAGGATACATTTTTACACAACGTTTTATAGGCTCAAGTTAAGCAACGCTTGTACTATGGTTAGTAGATAATTGAAAAACTACTCTCTCGTAAATAAATACATATTATACATATATAAACACCCAGATGCAGGTACACTACTCACTACGCCATTCAGGTCGTCAGTAATCATACGGTTTTGATCAGTAGACGCAGTGATTCATATGGTAGGTTTTGTGTAAACTTAATGGAGTATGTACAAAAAAATGCTAAAATTGAATAGATTGGATGAATTTCGGTGGTTACAGAAAAAAGGATGGCTTTTTAGCAATACGAAAAAACAATGCAAAACTTTGAACGACTTTTTACAATTCATTACAAGTCATGTTACATATTCTTTGATTTGGATGAAACACTAGTTTTATTATTGAATTCAATAGGTGGAATGGTACGTAAAAAAAGTATTTGATGGTTTAAACTTTTATGGACATAATTTAAAAGCGAATGTTTTCTATGTTACTATGTCTCAAGCGAACCTTTCAACCTTTGAATTTTGGCGTATTTTGGTAAACGGATTGTTGGATGTAAGGATAAAAAATAAAGAAATTAAAGTAGAAAACTTTTTTTTTTTAACAAAGACAAGATGCAAGGATTTTAAACTGTGAAGTACTGGCAGTATTCGTTTCCTTTTTTTAAACTTGTTTGAAAATAATTCTATTATGGAGCGAATGGAATTTGTTTGACGAAGATTATTTTAAGAATTTAATAATTAGAAAGCTTAATATTTGAATAAATCTAGCTTTTGTTTAAGTTAGTTCGATCCCCTGTTTTATTATTTATATTGCTGACGTTAAAATGATCAACAATGACATAAATGAAAAGTAAAAACGTACCTTTGCCCCTTGCTTAGCAAAGGTCTCGACATATCGTGCCCCTAATCCTGATGCGCCACCCGTCACCAAGAAAGTTTTTTTTGCTGGCGTGAATTGATTCGTCATTTTCCGATGAGTGCAAATACAGTGGATTCCTTATGATCACGTTGCAGTGTTCTTGTTACGCTTTTATAGCAGACTCAGTGTGATAAGCTACTGTATCATTGCGATTATCATATACATTTTGATACGGTATTACTGTTTTTTTATAATATTTGTATTTTACGTGTGCTCATTTTAGGGTTGTCATAAACAAAAAAAGAGTTTTATATAATATGGATTTTAGGTTGTGCTCCTGAAGATTTTGAGGAAGGTTTTATTATAGCTAAGTCCGGGTTAATTAATTATTTACGTTCATAGTGACTTTTGCTTAAGAAAACGGTCATTTATATATTCGGATTAAATTTAAAAAAAACTATCTTTTGAGTAATCTCGTTTGAGATTAGAATTCTCTCAAATTTCAAGTAGACCTCAAATTGAAGCAACGTCCCGGTTACGAAGCTATTCAAATAATATTACAGTGTTTTTTTTATGTCAGTTGACTGTATATTAGTTAAAACTTGTTACTTTATGGAAAAATTTTAGAAACTTGAATATCATATTGTTGAAAATAAATAAATAGTAGTAGTAGAAATATTCTGGTAAATATTGTAGGTCCCAAAACGTACAAATTGCCGAGTTGCCATTTCTATTTCGGTTTATATGTATTCGCTGGACATTCTTAGCATATTTTACGTGCATTGGCTTTCAAAGGAGAATGTTCTGATATAATATATATGTATCAGAACAGTCAAGCTTATAGTTAATTTGAATTTTAGAAAATTTCAGGTAATTTATATAAGACTCTCATGCTAATTTAGGCTTCTGAACGACAATATGTCAGCTTCTATCAAAGGCTTTCTCCTCAACACCATGTTTTATAAAAGTCTGTTGTCTGCTTATTGGAGAATGGTTTCTACAGAGTATTGTATTTTTAAATAGTTTCAATATTGTCTCTAAATCATAGCTTAGGTAATGTTGAATTCCAGATAATAATTTGCACGCTTTCGTAGTTATCGTCCCATGCGCTATGTGTTAAATTTTAGTCGCAATATGAATAAAAAAATATGTTATGAAAACTTAAAAAGTTGGAACTTAATAGTTAAATATTTATTCCCCTGTTCATCTCGGAAGTTTAGATGTGTTCCGAGCGTAAATTTCATTTGCTGCCTTATTGTTATTTTAAGTTGATATATCTAATCTGAAACTGCGATCACTGAATAATGTTTTAAGTATTTGTTCTTTTATCTGACCCTGTCACACCTCAAATTTATCAATTGAGTTTTGTAATCGTTTTAAATATTTTCCTTCTTTTTGTTGTCTTGTTTTCCATCCTAAGGGATTTATCGACACTTTTGGGTATTCCAATTCTCTAAAGGTACTTATAAATGTGGTACAACTGCCGGATTTATTAATTGAACATTTTAAGTTCACACGCGCATGAATTATAAATGAGATAATTCGATCATATTAATGGTGAAAATTATATAGACAGAACAGTGAGGAAGCAATCCAAAGTTTTATTATCCCACCTTATAAGCCATCCTTTGCAAGATATTCCTTATGTCATTTCTCGGTTCATAATTAAGTGGCGCCAAAACCTGTCCGCTTTGGGTTCGTGATTGTTTCCTGGCCACTATCAAGCGACCTGTTAGAGATTTAGACACTAAACAAGGCAATATTGAGGAAATTTGGATTACTTAATAACCGTTTTTTAAATAAGGTGTTTTAAACATACTGTTATGTTATTTGTAAACATTTTGATTTTACGTAAAACGTAAAATCAAAATGTTTACGTTATTAATACGTTAATACTTTATTAATACTTAAGTATTAAATAAGTAACAAACGTAACCTGTAACGAGGTTACAATGATGTGAAAGTAATGTATAACAAAAATGTTAAGTACTTTTATTCCAAATGCAATCTCGTTATCGTCTTGTCGGCTCAACTGTATCGCTTGTTTTTTGTACAGCCATTTTACTAAAGAACTGGATCTTTATGTGTTAAAAGCAGGCGTAGATTAAATTTTAGGGTAGTCAGAGTCTAAAGTATGTTGGAAACTGTTCATCAAATATATTTAAATAATAAAAAGAAGTGAAAAAGTAACAAACATCCATCCATACATACAAACTTTCGCGTTTATAATATTAGTAAGGATGATAAATTCTAATCTTCTGTTTTTCATTTTCGTGTTTAAAGTGATAGTATCATCAACATCAACCGCAATGTCTCGATGAATAATTAGTAATGCTAGACCAGTAATTCAATTTTGAGCCATATTCGCACTTAGCCATCTTTTAAGACGCCGTAAATATGAAAATGGCCTTTCTGTTGTTGCTACATCAACAGGGAGTGAAGCGAATATTTGCAACACGTCTTTAGTGTTTGCATACAAATTGGAATCACATTGTTCTATTATTTTCGAAACTCGGATTTTGCCACAATTTTCTATTTCTCGTTTCCAGACCACTCCTCTTTATCAAAGTTTTCGACATATTGCGCGCCCAATCCAGAAGCACCTCCCGTCACCATGGATGTTTTTCCTTGAGGTGCGAATTGGTTGGACATATTGCTCTGCCTTGACGAATACTGTCTCAATTTCAGAAACATACAATGTATGTAATATGTACAAATCGTAAATAAACATATGAAATCATTTTAATGTTTATGTAATTTATCACCTTTACAGATTTATTGGTTTTCCTCACTTTTCAAATCGTCTCGTAAGTACGAGATCTAAGTAGATTGTCTCATTAAAGTCCTATGAAGATGAAAGGGGTGATATACGCCAATAATGATATTATATACAAATGTGAAGTAGATATTATGTGAACTAGCACATCGAAACTGAGGCACTCAAATTACACTAGTTGGTGTAATTAGATTGCAATTATATGTATAGATTTCTGCAGAATGTTCATACATTCTATATGATCATGTCACATTCACTTATATATGTAATATAATGTAAAGTTGAACAATTTTTAAATGCCGTGCAGTAGGGACATGCGTCATTTATTAAACATCATCGGCACCATACGTGTTTGGTGCATGCTGCACTTAAGGTATTCTTCATTTGATTCCCCAAGTTAAACTTATTTCTTTGTAGCTTCTGTATAATACATTTTTAATTTAGGATTAGGTTGGTGAGTCTGTTCTTTGTGAGGTTGGTCACGCAACTATAACCCCGCAGGTTAAGTGATGGATGTCAAAGGGCGCTGTAATCAATTCGGCTCAGGAGAAACTTCTGTCACTTTTCCCCCCAAAAAAGATTATAATAATTAAATATTTTTCTTTTAAAATTGTTGGCACAGGTTCGTCTACAACATTTAAAGTGTAACTTATCTTCGTTTTCTCTTTTATTTGAATAAGATAAATAAGAGAAGAAGCTAGTGATTGATTCAGTTTTCTGCTGTGTAAAGCTCAATTGAGCTATAATAATTAATTTTAATTTATTATAATTAGACTATATATTAATAATAATTAGACTATTCTTACATTTTATTTTGTTATGTTCTAAACACCAATAAAATCTTTTTATAAAACAAATGGAATTTCCTTCGTTTCAGATGTTCCTCTCTCAATAATACCTGGAAGTTTCAAGTGAGGTAAGTGTAGAAACAGAAACGTTTGTCGTTTCTTATCTTAACGCATTTCGTTCGATTCGTTTCACGTACGAACATTTTTCAATCCGGACTTTAATTGAGGCTGAACCTACCTGGTCACCCTTCAATTTTATACTCACGTTTTGTAGATAATTGAAAGAAATATATATAACCCAGCATTTTGATCTGTTCCGCCATGCTCCCTGCTATGGAAAACAATTTGCGTTGCGTAATGCAATTAATCCTCTTTGCAATTAATCCTTAGAGCAGCTTCTGTTAATTGGCCTCGTGTTACCGAAGAGCCGGGTGAACCAATGACAC